GATCTGGAACAGTTTACCCCTAGAAATAAGGACCTGCCACTTTATTATAACCTTCAAACGCTTGCTTTATGAACTGCTTCATCCCGATGACTATCCCAACCAGACCGCACAAGAACTTCTTATTTAGAGCACTGCATGGCTTTCGAGGAAACCTCTTATGCCTATCAGATCTCAGTGTAAGAGAAAGCTGGGTCACGTCAAAGGACAACAGAGGACCTGTTGACGTCGTCTTCATAGACCTCAACAAAGACTTCGATAAAGTGCCTCGCGAAGGTGGAAAGTCTTGGTATCAAAGGCAGCTTATTAAACTGGATTAGGCAATTCCTCATAGGTAGGAGGCAGAGAGTCACGATCAACTCAAAGCTCTCCTCCTGAACAACAGTGGGTTGCGAGGTGCCACAAGGTATGGTAATCGAGCCTCTCCTATTAATTTTGTATGTCAGTGACTCATCTATGCTCACCGATTCCCCTATGGTCCTATACGCAGATGACTAAAACATCTGGAGAGAGCTGAAGAGCGACAGTGATGTGCTAACGTGACATGGGAGCCCCAACAAATTGTTAAAGTCGTCAAAAGAACAGATGCTTCCGATCAATGTAGCAAAATGTGCAACTATGCTCATTGAACACACAGGCATCAGCTGCAACGAACTAGAGGGAATAACACCCCTATTAGTCCAGACTCATTTGGATTTTGGTGTCATAGTAAGTCACAACTTAAAACTACAACACATTATCGCTCGGCTGCTGCTCATAGTTCCAGATCCTTATGGGCAACTCACACCACAGATATGTTCACCTCAAGACTGCATCTAGGCCACCAGTCCTAGTCAATTAGGGTACTTACATATTCTAGAAAGGGTTCAAAGGAAGGCAACACATATGATTACTGGCGTGACGAATCTATTAAATGAGGAAAGGCTAGACAGTTTAATCTCTTCTCCTTATCATACACTAGGCAGAGAAGAGATTTAATCACAATGTTTAAGATTTTAGATAATGACTACGAACCTGATCTATTCTCTCTTTTCCTTCACACCAGGTCAGAATACGTTAGAGGACATATTAGGAGGGTTCGAAAGGCAAGGAGAAACTATATTTCTGTGGAGTACCTGTTCTGACACTGGGTCAAACTCCTGCAACCGACTCCCAGAAGAAGTGGTGTCTGCAACGTTAATGGACTCCTTCATCAAGGGTTAGGACAAGCACAGAAATCTGGTAGAAAAGGAGTAAAATAGGATCGAAGTCTTCTATCCTCAACCCATAAATCTAAATTTAACAAAGACCTTGACAAATCTCTGTCGACCAATCAGATGAGTATAAAGTTGAGGTGCTTAATATGAAATTAATTTAACACGTTCTAACGTATATCATCACCCCATACGAGTAATGCAATGTTAAAATATGGTTACGTAAAGTAACATTCCTGTACATATTTCAAGAAAACGGCCAAGTTAAAATTTAGACACCAATAACTACGAATCAGCGATGACGTCGAATTATCCAATCAGATTCACGAACGTAGTTCAATGTTGTATAGCGCCTGATTCATTTCAATGCGTGCCCTTACAAGGTTACGTTCGCAATTCTAGGAGGATAGTGTCTTCCAGTATTGCCTGGACTTAGGCTTGCTTCAAATAGAAAGAAGTTATTCGTGTGGTGGTGCAATGACTCTAAAAAGCTATACTAGGTCAACTGATGGTTTTGTACATCGTTGTGGAATATGCTGGTAGCGAGTTAATATTAGAGAGGGTAATATTTCTTAGGAACATTTTTGCTAGGTCGAATCTCTCCCTAGCCCATATTTTGTACATTTTCAATTACTGGGTACTGCTACCGAGGCGGAGAACAGCCTCCGTCTCAACAGTTCAGTGGTATACCAGCACTGCAGGGACATCGCCTAATGGAAAATGGACAGAATTACTTCGTTGTTAGGCCGGGACGACGTAATAGTCCATGTGGATGAGACAATGTTGGTGAAGAAGTATAACCGCGGTCGTCAGAGAGCGAACAACATTTGGATCATAGGTTAACCTTAATTTATACGACACGTCCCTCCGAAAAGGATTTGTTGAAAGAATAGCAGACAGGAAGGTGACTACTCTCGTACCTATTATAAGGCGACTTGTGAAACCGGGATCAATTTCATACACCGACGAGTGGAAAGGCTATAATTCATTGTCATCCCTGCGATACATCCATCACAGAGTGAACCACTCCAGTGATTTCGTGGATCCAGTTACAGGGACTCATACAAATTCCATTGAAGGATTTTGAGGTTGATTGAAAAATAGAATAAGGGCTATAAATGGATCTCAGAAGGATCTCATTTATAGTTATTTAGATGAATATATGTATAGAATGTGCTGCGACTTCTCTATTGACAGTCCCATGCTGAATTGGGAAATGTTTCTCTCCTATGTTTGGGAAAGATACCCATTGTAACCGTTTTATCATTTTTTCATGCCTTTTTCTATTAATATACGTTTCCGCTTATCATAAACGCCTCTTTCATGTGATTGGTCCGTTCAAGGTCGTTCGCTGATTGGTAGTTATTGGTGTCGAAAGTTTAACTTTGCCCCTGTAGATAAATTCGTCTAGATAACTGTTAATTGTCGTGTTTCATTCGCTGATCTAGTGGTGTATCATGTCTGCTTTTTTGGACTTGGGGAAGTTAGATACAGTATTATATCTATTCCTCAGGCACTTTTTGGGTAAGGTTATGGATGTGTAGATTATGGTTTAGTGTTAAGGTTCGGATAAGCTGTACTTTAGGTTAAGTAATTAATTAACCTACCCCTAGGAGTAGGTTAATGTACAGCGTCAGAAATATCAATAGATTTCAAAGTACCATGACCTACTGTCACCTAGGCCACCGGGTACATCGCTCACGTTATGATCTCACTTATAACATGTTTGTAGTGATAGGGAGACATTTTTTAATTTAATTTTGATTACAGCTTGATTCCATACCGTATTTTTGGTACAAGTATGGAATTTTCAGCATATGATATCGGTAGCCCAAATTTTGCAGGCCGACCAATTGATATCAGGTGTGCGTTGGCAGGGGACCGAACCCCGGACCACTTGCATGGTTGGCGAGTCCTAACCACTGTGCCACCGACGCACAACACATAAGCGGTAACTATATAGTGTAATATCATGTTTGCAACGTTTTTATCGTATTTTCCAGCAATTATTCGACTTTTTTGCACTTGAATTCTGATTGGTTGTTCAAGGTTAATATGCTTTTGGCTGTAATAATTTAACTTTGCCCTTTTTTATTAAGTCAACTAAGAATGTGTGCATTAGGAATGGAGGTTTGAAAAATATTGCTACTCGTACGATAGAATTATAAAAACAATTTTCAGAGTAGCGCAGTTGGATTTCATATATCTACAAACAATAAATTGAGTTTGGAACGTCATCCATTAGGTGAAATTGTTTCCCTGCCTAATCTACCTAGTAAACAAAATAATATGGAATTTAACACTAACATTGTAATAACGCTACACACATTAGTCAGCTTTCTTGAGGAACCCTTATTCACGATGATAATAATCTTAACTGTAACCACGTTCATCGAGATTCATTCTCGGTGTTTTATTTACGCCAGCTTCTACGCAATACTTCCTACACCATTGTAATTCTCAGATCAATATACCTAGACCTCAGGTTGTATCCCAAATAAAGAAATTAGGGTTGATTTGGGGGAATTTAAGGATTATCTGAGGATATATTCGGGAGAATTTTTGCGTTGAGTTGCCCCAACGTTTTTTAAAATTGGGATGATGCCCATGAAATCAATGTTTCCATATTTAAGTCATCTATACCGACTTTTCTTTCATCTTCTGACCTTACTAATGAAATATTTTGCTGGACATAATATTTAAGGGACCTGCGGGATTTTTCCCCGAAATTCCTTGGTTATTTTTCAATAAATTTTCATTGTCATCACCTAACTCTGTATGGGAGGACTTTTCGACGGTCAGAGCTGCCATATATCTCTTACAATGCGTAAAGATAGGTGGTAGGTAGTTTCCTTATGAAGAGCAGTTTTCTCTTATTAGGGAAATAAAGTGGTGTATTGTATGAATTTTGATCATGAGAATGAACACAAAACAGGCAGATTCTACGTGGTGTTACAAACAAAATTTTCAGACATGTCATTCAGTTTCTCCTGCTTGCTTCAAAAGTGACAAAATTTCACTGTAAGGTATCCTGTAGTATTTCAGTCCTATCTGAATAAGAACTCTGTGTGAATTTCCCGCACCAGCTTTCGCTACTAAATAGAAATATGCCAGTGCTTCGTAATCGTTCATTTCACTCTTAATTTAGCTGGGCTACAATTTTAGCAAATCAAAGTTGTACTTCACAACAGCTTTCGACTTACGACTACGTAACATGCAAAGGTGGTATAAAACTTGGGCACTGTGGTAAAGTATAACTCCATTATGGATACGATTTTATTCTGATAAATCACACAGTGTTGTACAGTAATATCTACTAATGACGTTTCGAGCACAAATTATTGCTATGAATCACATCAAGTTACTCACACAACACTGTGTGATGTATCAAAATAAAATCTTATCCATAATGGAGTTATGCAAAGGTGGTCACCAAACACTGCATTGTGACAATGGTTTTACTCAGAAACTTCCACATAGAGTAGATAAATGTTAGTCGACACTGTGCGTGTAACAGTATTCATTCAGTAACGTAGATACCACAGCCAAAGTGAAGAGAGGTCCGTGGCAGACTTTATCAATAGCGAAATGAGAGGAAAGTACTCATTATTTAAACCAGCCTTTATACCAGTTTGCAGGTGTCATTAAACCTTATACATAACATCTGTTTGTGAACGTAAATCCTTTTGCATCGTAAGTTCAAACTTTCTTCCTAAGAGTCACTAGAATAGAATTTATTATAATTGTTCACTAATGACACGAATACTTGTCCGTTACTGCTTGTTTCTCCCTAATATGTAGATAGAACCCATGTTGATGCTAAACTTAAATACGTGTTTGTCAGCACTTGACGAAGAGTCTAAGGGGCATACCATAGCTGGTTTTGGAGGTTCTTGCTATTACTATCACTATGGTGCCCAGGATAATGATGATCAAGTAAGTCATACCTACTAATCTACGTTTAGGGTTGGGGTTGTGGCTACAGAACTCTACAAACTATCCTGTCTTGGTATAAACTCACGAAACAGTGTCCTTTCGATATGCCTACAATATCTGACATACAACAGACTCTATACGAAATCGGAGACAAGCCAAAATCTTTTGTAGGCTCTCATGATTGGATTGGGACATACGAGTGTGGTTTAGTAATTCAACAACTTACGAAAGTAAGTACCCAAGTAGTGTACAGAGTCATTAGAGCAACTTTAAAATAATTCATGTAAATAAAGGCAATTTTACGGAAGAAATTACGGAATCGCTCGTTAACCATTTCTTAACAAGAGGATCACCGGTTATGCTTGGTAGGTTCCATATCTTACTAACTTTCTAGGTGGTTTAAACGACAATTCTTCTAAAGGAATACTTGCAGTAAAGACAGTTCATAAACAGCATACAACGCTATTAATATGCGTAAGTTTATTCACGGCTTCGTCTATAAGACCAAAAAAGTAAATATTATTACATTTGCCTGGTTAATGTTCATTGTCTGAAGTTTTCAACATAGGATGACCGCCAAACAAATTCCTTGGCTTTTTAACACTTCTTTTCAGTTATTAGCTCTCACAAAAACTTTTGTACGATTGCTAATTTGAGCCTGAGTTCTTTCGCTGTGGCACCCATGCATTTCACTATCTGCCAATGGGTGTAAAATAACAACTGAGCTATTGGTAGTCGTCGATTGCTTTCACTCACTATTACCACGCCATAAATGGCCTCCAGAAAGTCTGCATAAATTTATATGACCGACAGTACAAGTATTTTCATTTAGCAACAAAATTTTAGACTGGCAACAATAATGCCTCAGTTACCACACCTCCATCGCTTTTCCTCGATACAAATCTTTAGTATAAAATACTTTGTTGATATATACACTTTTTCCTGTAATTAAATATGGAGCCATACAGATGAATGTGTTTGTTTACAAGGCATCACTGCTATTCTAGTTGGGAGGTCGCTGAAGACTATATTCTATGCAAGGCATCCAAGAAGCCGCCTTAACAGTTATAAAATAGGTATATAAAAATTCAGTCACCCGATACAAATACATTTGCATATTAGGTTATAAACCACATGCAGTGTAAGACCACTTACACTGAAGTAGGTCAATTCAATGTTTACAATAAATTGCTAAAGATAATGAGCCATATTATTCATGTAACTCACATGCTTCAGAAACTTTAATCTGGCAGTTCAGACTGGAAGACTTCTCGTTATGCTGATAAACTTTTAATTACTAAAAGTTTGTGGTATGCAAACTACGAAGTAAAGGAAGAAAATAATTGTAGGCTCTAGTGACTTGAGTTAATACAAGCACAGTACACGCAAATATACTCAAAGCAATTGTATCAGCATAATTTTCAACTGGCAATGAAAATAAATAACATATTTTGACTGGGTAATCATTAAACCAAGTTGCAGTAATGAGTAGATGGTACTAAGTCAGGAGTGAAATCTGTCAGTAAAGATAATACATGCATGTTACAAAAGTGAATGCACCGAAATAGTTTCCACTTTTTCAATATGTATGTGAAACATAATTATCGTCGAGTATACCATCATCATAAGTCATACTATGTACATTAGTCACTGCACGCATGATATTTATTGAAGAATATTTTTTAAAACAGATTACCTTCACCTCTCCACTTTTTTCTAGGACCCTCACTGTTACAGAATGAATAAGGAGCCTACTATCAGTGAATTATGTGAAGAAGGCTGGATACGTTGGTGCAAAACAACTGAATTAACAGAAAAAAGTTTTTATAATTTATGTCTACCTTTATGAAAATATACACTGAACACGTTAAAATACCACAGATTTTATGGCATGTCTTTACAAAATTTATCATACGTTTCTTTAAGAATAAGATAGGAGTCCAGATACCGTTCTTCGTTGTCACGACAAGCGGCCTTCCATCTGAAAATTAAAACGAAGTGGTTTTTTTTATATAACTCCATTATTGTTCAAAATTCGAAAAGGATTTCTCCGCAAGACAACTAAATAACAACGTAACTTTTAGTGAATGTTGGCATGGTATTTAGTGTTCGTTCAGATTCTAAACAAAGAGAGTTCCAGCGTATATATGACCTGCGTTTTATCCACATTCAGCGCTGTATGGTAATCACTTCAGGTGTCAACCAAACTTATGTTGCTGACTTAACACGTTTCGGAATTAGCGAACATTTCCAAAAATATGCATGGCAAACTATCGAGTCGCATTGTGTCTTATAATAATTAGAGAACAAGCAATAAGTCTTACGGTTTAAAACGCTGATTGATTTATTTATTTCAAGAATTTCATCGATAAATGTTTTGCGTGCAACAGAAAGACAGAATACTAATAAAGTAAAAGGCTTCCCCAAATTTCGATAAAGAAATTTTCGCTCTTCAGAGCATACTTTCATCAAAGTCAGTATCGTTGAAAATCCCTTCAATCAAGTAGCCTGTGACTATTTATAAACTTCCTACATAACCTACAAGGAGTACTATTATTTCAATTACAACTAACATAGCTCTCTAAATACGTTCACATGCATGCGGACTGGTTCACTAATCTCAGCTTTTTATCTTGTCTTCACTAAAAAATAATGTGCAAGTCATGCTGTTTGATTAACTCAATTATATACGTGTGGATTTTGCATAAAAAAATACTCTGAAACGAAATATAAAATCTGTAGACAATTGTAGTGACATTCACCGACCATGTGTTTTAAAGTAAATTCCAAAGCATTTGAGTATATACACGCTAGTATGTCTTTTTGGATGAATGAATGGTGATTCATTAGCCGGCAAAAGGCTAACTAAATGTTTGTTTAAAAAATGTCACAATCAACCGAACAGAAAGCTAATTAGAATAAAATTAAAAAGTTAGCAGAATACACGTCTGAGTAAGATGTGTGTGAATGTGGATGAAAGTCTTCAGGGACTTCAGTTTTTAAAAGCATCACTTACTTCCTCCGAATTTCCCTCCAACGAACAATGTGTTGTTCCAGTAACCCCTCAGGTGACATCTCCTTTGGCGGATTCTAGATTTTTAAAACGATTAGCATGAATAGCGACAATTACCTCAATGTTAATAAGGAATGGTTGACCTTCAGATGGCAGAGGTGGGGGAATACGAATGTCGTTATCAGTAAAGCCATCACTTGGCTTAGGTAATGCATAGTGGCAATCGGGAAGTTGATCATTATTCTAAAACAAAAATGTCAATCAGATTATATTGTACTGGCATTAATCACTTCGTGTTTAAATGTTTGAAAGACAATATTAAGTACTACACAATTGTTTGATTTATATTCATTTTCGTCTTTACAGACATATGCAACTATATGTATTAGATACAAAAAAGCTAGGTTAGTAACAGTAAGTTATCCTCAAAGGAAACTCAATCCAGCGGCATTAGTAACACAACCTCATAAATACAGCCCAACTAATGCACTCGACTCACGATGAGATATTCAATTAAATAAGCGTGTCAAATCTATTTCCTCACGGAGAGGCAATTGAAGATAGTATCTACACTTGCTTCGAAATCTTTGGCAACAAAACTACTAAAGCATCCGTAACTTCAGCTGCAAATATCTAACGCCATAGCTAAAAACACATCACAATAAGCAAGAGGGGATGGAAATTCGTTACACTTAAGTACTGTGTGCTAGTGCCCAGAAATATCTTATCGTGATTTCTAGCTAATAAACACTGCCTACGCCTTGCTCTGACCAATAGCTTTCTTCAACCTGGTTCTGGTCGAAGTCGCGTTGTTTACGAGAGGCAAATTCACAAACGTGGAACTAATTAGAGCTGCTTGAGGTAATGAAGTATTAAAAATCCATTTTCTTATATTAGAGTAGAACCCCAAATATCATTTTTAATGTAAACCTTATAAATAAGTTTTATGGGTGATTTAAATGGAAGAGCTTATTTGACATCTACTTACCGTATAACTATTTCTGCAGTCCTTTTGACAAACCTGGTTTATGCAGACGTTTGCCTTTCTACTCACCAGTGCTTCCCAGAAAAGAAGATCTAGCTTCGTGAGCCACTTCAACAAAGACAACTAGAACTGACATATTTCAGTGGGTAATTCTACCCTCATGCTTGATTAGAAAACCAGGAGGAAGGTGTATACTATTGATTCGTGAGTAATTAGGAACTCTTTACGTCAAGCAGTAGTGTTGTCTACTCAAATGAAAAGTTTGCTAGACACTTGGCTCATTCGGAGCTGAGTTCTTCAACAACATACTGGTTTAGTTTTAGTCTAAAGGGCTGAATTCTGGCTGCCTGCCCGGGTGAACTGGGATTACATAAGATCAGATTCGTCACTTGCTTTCTTTCTTTCACTCATGGAAAATTTAAATCAGTTCACTTTATGCCAAAACTTGCGCTGAAGATGTTGTCCACAAGGAAGACGAAAGCTCCCCGATTAAACCAACCAGCCCAGAGAACACTACTAATTGCAAATCATCCACCTGAGCTACAAACCTTCTCTATTATTTCAATAACCAAATATATTAAATTATTAAGGAACTACATAACTACATCAAGAGCTGGAGCCTATACTTTACTACATTTTGTCCAATGTAATTGATTGTGCTTAGAAACCAGATATTACGACTATTTTCAGTGTTGTACGGTTGAATGTTGCGACGTTACTGTAGGACTTTAGTGTCAATAAGGAATTCCTCTATGTCACTGAATCGAAAACTGCCTTAAACAGCCAACTATCTGTCTGTTCGTCACATTATGGAACTCCATATCAGCTATGGTGTCAATAGATAAACAACATACTTAACACAGTACATGTGATCCATCACTTAGTGCACATGACTGCCAAGTCGCATTTACAGTGACTGACTTCAACGCTTCTCGATACCGAACAACACCTGTTCAACACAACAGGACAAAATTCAATGCTAGACTAACAAGGATAACAGGTGAAAGTCACATAGAAATACTCTGGATGAATACTTACTAAAGATCCCAACGAACCGCAGAAACATAAATTCCTAGCAGCTAATTAAGAGGATTTATTCGACAAGTCTTTATTTCCATTCATATTCTAAAGTTGACCTTTTACGTGATCAAATGTAGACGAATTATACAAATATTGGAAAACTCCTTTGGTACTAGTTATTATTATAGTGGTGCTTTTATCGATTCATTGCTGCTAACCTCCGTAACATGAGGCAGCATTTACGTTTGACAAGGTTAGAATTAAACTTGTCAACAACATATACTTAGGGAACAGTGGTAATTTCTATCGATATGACTTATCTCGGAAGCAGTGATGTTTGTAACACTCACTGATCATGAGTTAAAGTTATAACTAACCAGCCAATCAGTATTTTGTATTACAATGAAAAGGAAATTTTTGAGGTAAGATGCTTTTTGTACTCCCTCTATGTAATAATGAGACTAGGAACATGCTTCTTTGTTGTCTACAGTTGAGAGTCCATACTTGATCAAGTTAATGTTAATCGCTTTCAAACTAAGAGATTTCGAATAAACTTATTTTTACGTATGGTACCACTTATCCTATGCACTTAGCTTCTAATCATTAGTGAACTGTCTAGTGTAAAAGGTCAGAAAGACGTATCTATGGTCAGACCTTTTATTAATTATTCCTACTACTACACAAACGAACTTAAAAATGAGAAAAGTAACACACTCAGGATAATTAGAAAGCAATACCTCTTGATCATCGTCCATAGATGGTACGTCATTCCATGATGAAGAATCACCTTGATTTAGATTACGGATCCAGGCTCTTGCCATAGGATACAAGGCAGCATTTTCACTGAACTGACCAAAATCCACACTTCTTTCAAAAACCTTTATAACAAATGATTCTAAAAAAGTTTACCAGTAACTCAGTGAAAAACCTTTGTAAGTCTCTTCTTCATCAGACGGTTCTCGTCGCTTCTTTCGTTTGATATCAGTTGGAGATACTTTGTAAAAGGGGCTTCTATATTTTTCTTTTTCAGAAGGATCTCTTCGACTTGCCACGTCATCCTTGTACTTAGTACTACTTTTTCTGTAATTAAGTAATTAAAACTACGTGCTTCAACAGTCATACATTCTAGATGGATCTTCTACCAACATTTGTAGTATTCTATCTAGTTTTTCGTGAGCATACGAAAGTTCAGATTCTAAGAGGATACACTAGTGGAAAGATTAACAAACCTTCCTGATCAGCCCACCAACCAGTTTCATTCCAAGAAGAACTCATATTTTGTTACAAGCTTCAACAGCAGTACGACTGGACTTCAATAATTTGCCTGGAAAAGTGACAACAAAGAGGATGAATGATCATTCAAAATTATTTTTACAGAATGTCTATAAAGCTAATAGAGCACTAGGGACAGAAATGATAATTACGCAAATGCACTGATCATATCCTCATAGTTATACCACCAGTAAGGATAGTGAAGCAATCTTACTGGTCAGCTAGATTCGAAGCCAAATGCAAACATGTGAATTAACTTTATTTATTTAAAACATGCTTCAGTACGAAAATATTTATTTATTTGTTTGGTCAACTAAACACACCATGGCACCAAATATATTAATCTAACGATATAAAGAAAATAGAAGAATAATAACCCAGTGAACTGATTAGAATTTTCCCTTGATAAAATCAAGTAATCATTCCTCAGTTTATGTTGACTTCAGCTATATATAAAACAAAAGTGAAGTATGATAGTCACTGATTTCAATTATGAATGATGAGTCGATACAAAAGTATATGAATTAGTTTCTATACTTGGAAGAAACACGTAGAATGAGAGAGAGGAAAGAGAATTATTAACGGTAACACACACATGGTTTTTATGGGACGAACAGATAACTATCGATGAACAGTTTTAAAATCAAAAGGATGGCAAGGAGTTATTACACCTGAACAGTTACGAACAACTTTCAGTCATCTAACTTACAGTCTTCAAAGAGCCATTTTAGACACCATGAGGACCCCAACCAGATAATTTACATATGAATCCGTGACTCATCAGAAACTTAAGGGCATCACACGCCAATAATTACTTAGTAATTCCAAAGACGATCAACGTCAGGTGACATAGGACGTCATCTAGTAAATAATACTGTTTCAGTGTGATACATTTAATAAACAAATTAATGTGGAATAACATAGGACTAGGTTGGAATAGATTTAGAAGTAATCACAACAAAACCCGGCATTAATCCATGGAGTTTATGACTGTTAGTATGAGCCACGTAGGATGGTGTAGACTGCTTGGTCAGGGACTCGCGGATGCTCAGAGCCAATGGCTTGAGACTGCTGGTAATATAGCTAACCATTTCGATGGCGCAGAAGCATTTATTCTTTGTATTCTCCCAGACCCATTAAATCATAATTATTCCAAATGTAACTATTCTTCCTGTTCATTATACTTCTTTTGAATGTTTCTAGTCTCTACTTTTGTGTGCTGCATGGAGGTACGATAGCTTGAACTGTTTCTCTTAAGTGCGAATTTCTATGTTGAAACTCAGTCAAAGAGATTAAGCGTGCAAAAAATTATAACAAAGCAGTCCGCAATTGTAAATGCAGTAATGATAACGGTAACCAACTGAGTGGCCGAAATTAAGGTTTATGATAGTCCCATGCTCCATAAGCTGATATGTCAGTCACAAAAATGGATATTGAGTGTTGTTAATACTAATGCTCTGTTCTCAGTACCCATTTTAATAAAAGGTCTTGAGACAAGGAGGGTGGAACTGCTAAAAACTGTTTGATATTAATGTTATTATTACTGAATGACACTATGTTAATGGTAATACTTATTACGTTTCCGTCTCTAACACAGCTGTTCATTATTATTGTACAGTTAATGACTACAGTTCATTCTCCATACCTCCAAAATGCAGTTTCGGGTGTGACAAAACATGACTAAGAGTAGTCTCGATAGGACCATAGATACAAATGTTTACATTTCAAAGACCAAAACACACTAACGGAAATAACCCTGTACAACATGCTTTTAAGGAAATTATATATGCATAACCGATTTCTATGCCTTTTGATAATTTACTCATGAATATCATGAAGAAAAGCTTCGAAAGTAGTAAAACATCGACAGGACTTCAAGCATCCACATCGATGACCACCAGACAGAAATTATCATCAGACATCTTCCTCAACAATTGAACTGGAACAGCAGTTTGAAAGGATACTGACTGCAAGAGTTAGCGAGCGAGACTGACTAAGAAGATTACAAGTCACCGTTTAAAAGATGAAGTGGTGATTTTAAGTTTCACAACTGCAAGCATTCAACATATAGTGAAAAATTCACTGTCACGAAATATTTGTCGTAAATTTGAAGTATTGAGTGAAACGCTTCACTTTGGTACAATTAACTACAATTATTACGCCGTCTATGGAGAAAACATGTCACACTACCTGTTTGATGAATCTTGATTTGCCAACATCAAACCCAACTATGTAATTGTCTCCTTTGATCACTGGTTCCCGAGTGTGATCTTTCAGCACCAACTTTATTAGTTAACTATGAAGTTCTATTTCTCAGTACTGAAGGGATTATTTCTGCTGCAAATGCTATTTTTCAACACTTACCACATCAAGTAAGCGTCTAGGGTTCTTTTCAAACACTACCAGCATTAATTCAGTGCATACCGGGGTTCTTATGAGTTGGACAAAATATTCATTTACCATAAGACGACATTACCGGCGCACATATGCAGTTCACTATCAGTTTAGAATTCTAAAGTCTACATGTATATATTTGTAACAGTAATTAATTATTATACGCTTAGGCATTTTTAATGCAATATTATGTAGGAAATCTTGAGGAAATGAGTCAAAATTACCGAAAGGTACCCTAATTGGGGTACGTTTTGGTCATTTCTGAGCATTTAAATGCTCAGAAATCAACCCCAGATTGTTCTATACGGATATAATCGCGTACATAGATACTCTATCATGACTGATCTATGATGTTGCAAGTAACAGAATACGTTATAAATCAAATGTACCACTTGCCATTAGCAGACACATACTTTAAAATTAGACAAATCCCAACACCAACCAATACGGTTGCGAATCTACTTAACAGCGCGTCAAAGTAAGTTTAGGATACAATTCAATGTACAATTTAGGATCATGCGATGGCGAGGTCGTTTAAGTTTACCGAACTGAAACACGATTCTCAGATCATCATATTTTTAACTCTTATAAACACCTGCGCATACGTACTACTACAACAAGCAAAGTAACATCACCAGCTGCACATGTCAGTATATGACATGTAAAATAAGAATTTCATGGAATTATTACGAAAGCGATCAATCTATATGACCATGATAACACTGAGGCATACCGTCTGCTTAAGTTTTCAGAGGAGATTTCCGCTTACTCCTTTTAAGAAACTGTAAATCTTCGGTCGATCTCAGTTCGATATGTCCCATTGACCTCCGCAGACTTCCTTGTTGCAATGAAGAGCACATTAATTTGTGTTTAACAGGATTGCATCATCGATTCAAATCGGAAATTTTGTTTTACGAAATAATCTCTCGATTACATCGAAATTGCCTGTATGTGAAGAGGTGTTGTGATGTGCGCAGTTGTCTCCACAATATCATAGTCGTCACTTGAAGCTTTTACAAATAGCATGATGGCTATGTTATCCGGCTGACACCTCCGGGGGAAAGGTGGGTAGTAGGAAGGGCAGAACATTATGCAGAAATAATTTGCATCCTATATTTTCTCCTGCTTCTGATAAGCGATTGTTTTAGACAAGTTACTTAAATTCTGGGGTTTCCTCAGAATAAGACCTCATGAAACATAAAATCAAAGGCTTTAGCATGGTTTGGGGGCAACAGCCTCACTGCTGTCTAAGGATTTTATCCTGTCGTTTCAAGCTACTATTAAGTTAGACTGATCCTCCATACGTCCATATTGAGCTTCTTGCTTTTATTCGGACGTTACCTGATATAAACATCTTCAAGTCTCTCCAACACTCCTGATATTGTTTGCAGTAGTGATGCGGTTCTATAATGCTTGTATTATTGTCTGTTTCCTCCTTCTCTTAGAACTAGGCGAAAGGACAGCTCGCGCAGAACCACTGCATAACTGAAATCTGCACACTGACCGTAAAAGGAGCTTATTTAGAGTGACACAAAACTTCAGCAGATAGCCTGAGAACCATAGGTTTAATGCAGTTACATTTCGTAGTTTTTCTTGACCGATCCATGCCAGCTCCTCGAACCACACGCAAACTTATTTGCGAAAGAATAATAATATCCAGTTCTGCCGTGTCCTTTACCTTACTTTTGTTCAGTTGTCTTTCAAATGCGGATACGGATGTCTTTGGGCTGCTCAAAAGTTCGTCCCTCCGGTCCCTAACTACACAGTCTCCCAGGCAGCACTTGTCATATAAGCCACGAATTGACAGTTTCTAGCAGTAGTTAAGCTGCTAGCTTGCCAGTTTTGCCCGAAATATGTATTCTACTCCATCCTTCGGAATCCCCGCTTCTACGATGTTATGAATTCGCTCTTGAAGAGACGGTTTATTTCTCTTTATAGTCAGTACGTTGTTTTTCTAGGTGATGTAGTCACAAAGGAAAATAGTTGCTTGCAGTCTTCCTGTCAAATTCATTTATATGACCCTAGTTCTTGGCTGCCGTTTATGAATAGTTCCTTCTTCACCAAAATGCCAAAAGTGAAAATTCTGTCATTCGATGAAAGGTGAACTTAACACATCGGCTTTGAGATGATGAGTTATCCTTGATTAACTTTTCTTTAATGACTAGGTCAGACCACAGTAAGGTTTAGCTGCAGTTACATATTATAAATTTTGTCTGAACGTTTCCTTTGAGCAGGTGGGCACTTTAGAGAAAGTAGTCTATCTGTCTCCAGACTGGTTCAGTGAGTTGTATCGCCGTTGCACTTGTGACTAAATCCCACTTGCCCACGTAGCTCATATCCTCTGTGACTCTTCTATCATCCTTCCCTCTATAGAGTCATTCTTTGTCTTGAGATTTCATCGTTTTCAACACTGTGCGATGACTCAGTCTCTGTTAGAATTGCAACAGTTGGTGAGGATTATGAGCGCACACGCTTCAGCTCAGTCAACTTGCTCCTGACGCCCCTGACACAAATGACAGAGGAAATTTGTAGCTGAGGTGGAGGATTTTGATTTGATTATGTTTCCTGAACTGATTGGTCTGACAGCAAAGCTGTCATTGTCCCACATTATTTCACTGTCCAATCGGGCGTTGATAAGGCATATCCCCTGTTTGAAGTGGCGCCTCCACCTTTACATTGAGGACATTTGCGCGGTCTAGTTGATTTCAGTTTGGCTGATTTGTTTCGTTTGATCTAGGTAGCTGCATTTGACGTGATTCTGGTTTCTGTTTGGCTTGAACTGTATTGATTTTGTTAAGAATGGTCGTCAAAAGCTGCCTCTAGGCCTGAAGGCAGTTATGGTGCAGGATGATGCTTGAGAATGTGTTTCATGTTATGATATGGTTCTGTTAAGTGGCATATTTCTATTAAATGGCTCGCATAATTCAGCTTGTCGGTCAACTAATCCTAGTCTTCAACAAAAGGCTTCCAAATGGCTAGTAATCGGAAGATCCTTTTCCGATAGTATATCATCACACACAATGATCAAAAACCGTCTCCAAGCATCTGTCTTACGTCTATTTGTTGCTGAAAAGTACTTCCGCTGGATGACAGGATTTTGTATGCGGCCTCTGCTGTATGTTCTCAGGTGATTACCAACGGCGTAAGGGCACGAGGTTAAACCCCAAGGAATATTAATTGCTTCTGGATGTTTTGGTTTAGCTACTGTCTTAAAGGATTTTGATTTCATTTGGTTCGGAGGGACCATTAAACAGTTAGCAATTTTCTTCTGAGTGAGTCGTATTGCCATCAATTTTTTAGACTGTGTAATCTAGGCTTCCCACTGGTAGTAAAACTAGAACAACTGAGACTATACGGCATTTCGGACCGACGTACCGAGCCACGGACAGCGATTGTGAGGCATGCATACATGAAAAGTACGTGAAATCAACCTTTCCCAGCCTACCAGTTCATCCTAAGCCAGGTGATAGAGGAAAGGTATTACTGACTTCAGGTCGGGTGGAGCAGTTTCTTTCCTTTCTTCAACTTTTTCTGGAGCAAGGATGATATGATGTATTCGGAAAAAGGCATTTTAGATAGTGAGATAGTGTAGTGACCCGTTTTATTACTCATCATCGCAGTATACTTTCACTATGTAATTGTACTTCGATTTGTTTATTACTCTAAATCTTGCATGTTAACAATTGATACTTTTGTGCTCGCTCGATTTTTGAATTTTGATTGCTGCAATGATACACTATCGTATTCCTTCGCAAGTGCCTTTTGAATTACGTTGTGGATGTCGAGTAATCGAAACGTTAGGACACAATTGTAAACGCGAAGAAGTACTAAGATATACGTGTACGTTGGTTTAGTCAAAATATAGCAGCACAACAGTTGGTGAGCCCGCCGATAACTTGCTGACCCCGACGACAACTTGCTGACCTCGACGCGTCGTTACACTTGTTGGATTAATAAAACTTTCTTCTTCGTGTATCTATATATTTATTAGATATCCCGAACTCATTTTTGTGTTTGCTCATAGCACAACCTGCAGTAATTTGTGGTAAGCACCTGCATTGTATGCTTTTTTATTTTATTTTGCCGTATTCTTAGTGTGCACAAATTTTGCTATTTTGATACTCCTGAACCATTATTTTTACGAATTGTAACATGTCTTCCAATACCTCTGATAACTTAGAGCTGGGATCTGTTAGTACTATTTCTTTTACTGTACCAGTTTTTGAGCCCAGAGACCCTCATCTTTGGTTTGCACGACTGGAGCATTATTTGGCTAGCAATAAGCTCACGTCACAGACAGCTAAATTTGGCATTTTGAGTACAGTACTACCAGACGAAGTCGCCGAGCGGGTACGGCAATACATCGTCCATCCCAGCACAGAAGCGCCTTACGACAAGTTGAAGGAAGAGGTACTACGATGCACTTCGCTTTCGGATGGGCAAGCACTCGATCGCCTGTTAAGCAATGTTGAGTTAGGTGATAAAAGCCCATCTCAACTCATGAGGCATATGCAAAGCCTAGTTGCAGGAAGAGAAATCGATAAACGTCTCTTTTACCAAATCTGGCTGCGACGACTTCCTCAAAACATCCAGCAGGTTCTTGCTTTCGGAGACGACGACATTGACATAGAAAGGCTCAACGAAATCGCGGATCGCATGTACGAGAGGTCAACACCTCAGTCTGTCGCTTCCACTAGCAGAATACCAGATAAACTTATCACGATAGAACGACTGAATAAAGCAGAAGCCATCGGAGTCGACAAAACGTCAAACGAACGCATAGAAGCCTTAGAACGTAAAATCGACGTGCTCACTGAGCAATTAATGACAATAAGGGTTAATAGACAACCTACCACAACGTACAGAAGACAGCGTAGCCACTCACGTAATATGCGTAAATATAGCTTACAACAGAATATATGCTGGTATCATCGCAAATTTGGGGTACACGCAAAACGGTGCACACAACCTTGTGCTTTCCAACAAACGGTGGCGTTGGGAAACGAAAAGGCCGGCGGTCGGTGACGACTGTAGTCGCTGGCCAACACACGTCCCACAGCCGTCTATTCAGGGTGACAGACAAAACAACGTGGGCACAATTCCTGGTAGATACCGGTGCAGAAATTAGTGTAGTTCCCCCAACACCCAACGAACGCTTTCAACCAAACCCAGCATTAGTTCTCAAGGCTGCGAACAATTCTACCATAAAAACGTTTGGAACTCGGAGACAAAAACTTAATTTTGGATGCAGTACACCATTTGAGTGGGAGTTCGTAGTCGCCGACGTAACCTTTCCTATCATTGGAATAGATTTTCTTCAACACTACGAATTGCTAGTTGACTCTAGTCACCATAGATTGATAGATAGCAGTCGTAAACTATCGATTTCAGGCATCTCCACAGATGTCGAGAGTATTCGCTTGATAGTAGCCACAACAGATCAATTATCCAGGTACGA